GTGTGTGTGTGTGTGTGTGTGTGTGTGTGTGTGTGTGTGTGTGTGTGTGTTTTAATTAATGTGAACAAATATGTACTAAGCACTTACTTTGTGTTCAACCTTGAGTTGGCCATTATCAGTAACCAAAGAAGAGACAGTCTTTGTTCTTGAGGTGCTTCCAGTTTAATTGGGAGACATCTCAAATGTGTAGTTCTTAGAGAATGATACAAGACGCAATATAATTGAGTGCAAGTAAGTGTTTTAATTGGATTTGTAGATTTATACACAGCTCAAGAACATGTCTGCCAATTTCAGAAAGCCAGGCCCTTTTTGACAGAGGCATTCGTTCTTTGATCCCCAGGTATCTGAGAGTGACTTGGAGGTGTAGGAGAAAAGGGAAACAGGCCTCTGACATTCTGGGGAGGCTACTCTGGGTTCCTCTGGTACTTCTTGCCAGGCCCCCATGGCAGTAATGATGGAGGGTGAGTGGGTTATCACAGGGGTCATCTCTACCCATTGGCAACCTCATTCAAGGGCCTGAGGAGTATCAGCCTCCATCCTGCCACCTGCCACCAGCTGAGAATTCGTGCTATGTTTTCCAGAGACAGATTTCCCCTGGTGGTGATGGGAAATATGCCACCCCATCCCCCCACCCTGGTAGCTGTATGTGTGTGGGGGTGGAGGGGAGCAGGGGGTGAGTGATCAGAGCAGGCATGTGGGTCTGTACCAGCTGCTAGTACCATATGGACTCCACCTACCCGTGGTATCAATCTTCTTATTGGAGCTTGCTGGCTGCAGAACCCTGAGGGAATGTGAGGGGATTATTAAAGAAAGAGAAAGGAGAAAGTCATTACCTTCTATAAATGCCTTTGTGGTCTAGGGAAGTGGTCTTCATAGTATAGGCCATGATATAACCCCAAGGAATTTGTGAGGGTGGGGAGATGGGTTGCAGCCCACCCTTCCTGCAACAGCCTATCATGGAGCTTGTCTACAATACAAGCTATACTTCTACCTTCACTTGTTACAGTCCAGTGCCCCCCTACCCTCTCTCCTCCAGCATCTTTGCAAGCTCCCAACCTTCTTAAGGCAGGCATTGGCTCTCCAGGGCAGTTATAACCTCTGTTCTCCCACAGCAGCTATGCAGATGCCGTTGGGAAAATCACCCTCCCAACGCTATCCCAGCATATCTACTAGGGGAATAATAATGATAATGATAAAACTATTATTACTGATAGGGGGTGTAAAATTAAATTTTTTTTCTTTTGCTTCTAAATCTAGGATTTGGTGATAGGAATGTATTGGTTTAGAGGAGTTGAGACTTGGGTTCCAGTCCCAGCTCTATCACTAGCTAGCTGTCCAACTTGGATAAGTTGTTCTTTGTGCCTCAATTTCTTCTATTGTCCAAGTTTTGCCTTACTTATCTGCCAGAGTTGTTATGAGGTTAAAATGAAAGAACAGATACAAACGCATTTTTTATAATGAAAAGTAGATAATATACAAAGGCCAGGTGGTACGAGAATCCTAGGATCCCAAAGCTGGAAAGGATCTTAGAGCACTGAATGGCACAACTGGAAGAGACTTAGACATAGGAATACAGAAGGAGCTTGGAGGGAGGAAGCTTAGAATACAAAACCTGGAACATGGGAGCTGGGAGGGACTTTTAAGACATAGGACGTCAGAATTGAGAAGGAGGTTAGAATATAGAATGTAAGCTGAAAGAATGTCAGAGTTCGTCTCAGTTAATCCCTTCATTTTAGAAACTGGGAAACTGAGGAACAGATGAGGGATGCCTAAGATGTTGGAGGACATAGAGATAGCAAGTAGCAGATCCAAGACAAGAAGCTGAAGTTCATGATCCAACCATTTTGGAGAGTAATTTAGAACTATGTCCAAAGGGCTGTAAAAATGTGCATACCCTTTGACCCAGCAATAGCACTTCTAGGACTGTATCCCAAAGAGATCATACAAATGGAAAAAGGACCCACATGTACAAAAATATTTACAGCAGCTCTTTTTGAGGTGGCAAAGAATTGGAAATTGAGGCAATGCCCATCAATTGGGGAATGGTTGAACAAGTTGTGGCATATGAATGTAATGGAATACTGTTGTGCTATAAGAAATGATGAGTGGGTGGACTTCAGAAAAACCTGGAAAGACTTGTATAGACTGATGCTGAATGAAGTGAGCAGTACCAGGAGAACGTTGTACACAGTAACAGCCACGTTGTGTGATAACTAACTTTGAGAGACTTAGCTCTTCTCAGCAATGCAAGGATCTAAGACATCTCCAAAAGACTGATGATAGGAAATGCTATCCACATCCAGAGAAAGAACTGTGGAGATTGAATGCAGATTGAAGCATATTATTTGCTCTTTTTTTTTTTTCCTTCTGTTTCGTTTTGTTTCCTCTTTCTTGTGGTTCCTTCTATTGGTTCTAATTCTTCCTTAAAACTTGACTAATGTGAAAATTAAAAAAAAAAGAAGCTAGGGTTCAGGCCACTTGTTATCATATACTCTCTTTCTCAGGTGCTGGGGTTATGGGGTTCCTTACTGGAGGGTGATGTAAGGGTCTTGTTCATCACCTTTCTCCCCTTCCTTCCTCAGGTATAAAGGCTTCATCAAGGACTGTCCCAGTGGCCAGTTGGATGCTGCAGGATTCCAGAAGATCTACAAACAGTTCTTCCCCTTTGGTGACCCCACCAAGTTTGCTACGTTTGTTTTCAACGTCTTTGATGAAAACAAAGTGAGTTAGTGATTGATGGTGCTATGCCAGCCCCCAAGGTCCCAGGAGCCACCTCCCCCTCACCACCAGGCTCCGCAGCTTCATCTCCTCCTAAAATGCTAACTCAACACCTACTCTCTCACTGCTAACTTGCCTTAGTGGGGAAGACACACACATACACACACAACCACCCCTGAACTTTCCCTTCTCTGGGTATGAGAAGCAGATAGATGTAGGCATTGAAGTAAGGAAAAACTTCCTAACGATTAGAGCTATCTAAAAGTAGAATAGGTTGCCTCATGAGGTGGTGAGTTCCCCTAAGTTGGGTCTTCAAGCAAAGGCTAGATGACTACTTGTTGGGGATGTTGTAGAGGAGATTTCTGTTTGAGGATGGATCTGACTAGATGGGTTGGAATGCAAACCTTCCTCACTCCAGATTCCCCATGCTACCACTGGTTCTTTTCTTTCCCAGAGTCCCCTTTTTATTTCATAATCCTTTCTCCTCTCATTTCATACTTTTTTATTGAGTCCTGGGCCTGAGTGTTATTCTGTCCTTTTTCATTTTTACTGGTGCCCCTCTGCTGGGCATCTGGCCTTATTGGATCATGGAGTCCTTTGAGTACTCTCAGTCTGTGCCTCGGAGCTAAGCTTGCCAGGCAGTGACCCAAGAGCAGCTCACCATTCCTGGCCAGGGCCATTACTCACAGCTCTGACAGATCATTGAGGGATTCTTCCCTAGCACTTATACGTGACTGAGAGTCAGGTGGGTCAGGGTTCTAGGCCTGGCTCTGTGATCAGTTGGCTGTGTGACCTTTTCCCTCTCTGAGCTTCAGTATTCCCATTTGTAAAATGGTGGAGTTGGATTAGATTAGATTATTTTGTTGTTGTTGTTCAGTTGTTTTTCAGTCATGTCCAATTCTTTTTGACCCTATTTGGATTTTTCTAAAAAAAGATACTGAAGTGGTTTGCCATTTCCTTCTCCAGCTCATTTTATGGGTGAGGAAATGGAGGCAAATAGGGTTAAGTGACTTGCCCAGGGTCACATAGCTAGTAAGTAAGTGTCTGAGGCCAGATTTGAACTCAGGAAGACCAGGCCGGTACTCTATCCACTTCACCGCCTACCTGTCCAGATTATCTCTAAAATCTCTTCTAAATCTAAGATTCTGTAATTCTAAGCTGAGGGAGATTACTCTATGTTACTGGCCCATGGTGACTGGGATGTCTGTATGCATATTCATTCCATCACACTCATTCACCCCCTTCTTCAGCTTCTTCTCCCTTCATCCTTTTATCTCTTTTCTTCCATCCTCTTTCTCTTCTTTCCCTCCCCAACTCTCACTTTCTTGGCTTTCCCTCCATCAGACTGAGAAAGCTCAACTGATGAATGTGTAATGCCTTCTCTTGTCAGGATGGGAGGATAGAGTTCTCGGAGTTCATCCAAGCACTCTCGGTGACCTCTCGGGGGACCTTGGATGAGAAGCTAAGATGTAAGTTCCTTTTCTATCAGTTAATCATTCATTTGGGGACCCTTTGATGTGTACATATCTGTGCTGGCTACCAAGCGGAAATATTGAGAAGAATAGACGGACTCAGGTCTTCACAGGGCATACCGTGTAGGAGGAGAGAGAAGATTTATACACCCAAAAAAATAACGGACAACTCTCTGTACCAAATGCCATTGAGTAATTCGACAGCAAAGTATTCTATGTGGAGTTCAGAGGAGGGAAACATCCCTAGGGGCTGGACTGGCCAAGGAAGGCTTATTGGAGAAGCTTAAGTAAGTCCAGAGGCATGGAAGGATTTTGATAGCTAGAGAACAGAGGACCTTCCAGGCTAAAGGACCCAAAAGAAGGGCAAGTTGAATCCCCTGGCTATAAGAGGCAGCTAAGGAGTATAGCAGATAGAATTAGGAAGACCCAGATTCAAATCCCACTGCTGACACATACTCATTCTGTGACCCTGGCTAACTCATTTAACCTCCCGAAGTCTCAGTTTCTTCCTCTGTAATATGAGGCAATTGGACTTGATGACCTTCAAGGTTCTTCCTGGCTCTCGATATTATCTTGTGATCTCTGGGAGAACAGCTAGTGTGCAATACATTCTCTGGGTATGGAATCCTAGGGTCCCCTCAAAGGAGAAAGTGAGATTGGGAGCCAGGTCTGACTTTAGGTGCGCTGCTCCTGATGCTGACAGGCTGGGTGGTTCAGCACGAGCCCTGCTCCGTTCTCCCAGGGATCAGTTTCCCTCTCTTTAAGATGGGGAATAAATGGGCTCTCTCCCCACCTTTATCTCCCTGATATGGGTGGGGGCAAGGGGAATTGATTATATATTCAATTTGCTTTCACTTTTGCTAGAGAGAAGGGATGAGAGAGATCCTAGGGATGATGAACAGTGTCTCCAATTTCAGGGGCATTCAAGCTGTATGACTTGGATAATGATGGCTACATCACAAGGAATGAGATGCTGGACATTGTAGATGCCATTTACCAGATGGTGGTAAGGAGGGTTTGGTCGTGGGATGGGTCGGGCATGTAGGTGGTGAGAAGCCCAAGGAGACGATTTAGAGAAGGGATGGATTTTGTTCACATAATAAGTGACATCTCATATGGGGAGACTTTCAGAAAAATAGGACCCTCTCTTCCCCTCTCTAACTGTCTGTAATTGTTATGTGATTCACCATCTGGAGAGGTAGAAACCAAAGATCTCCCAGGAGGTGGAGAAACTTGGTTGGGGGAGGGTATAGTCCAGAAAATGTGTGTTGTGTATGTGTATCCAAAAATAAGAATAGTGGGGGTAGGTGCCGAGGTGGGAGAGGGGAATGCTGGCATAGTGGATACCCTGGAGCTGGGCGGTGGTGGTGCGGTGTGAGAAAGATAGCACTGAATTCAGAGGCAGAAGACTTGCCCCCCTTGCTTGATGACCTTGGGTAAGTGATGCTTCCCCAGTTGGTCTCTGTTTTGCTCAGGTGAGGGTTGGATTACATGGTCTCTAAGGTTGCATGGGGCTCAATGACTCTTGGGTACTCAGCTGAAAAAGAAGCTAATAGCATCTCTTGCTGCTTAGCCATGACTGTAAAGAGCAACTTGGATAGGAGCCAAGGCAGAATAGGGTCAGGGGACAATATTTAGCCCTACTGTGCTTATCGCTTTCCTGTTAGGGTAACACCGTGGAGCTTCCAGAGGAGGAGAACACCCCAGAAAAGAGGGTGGATCGGATCTTTGCCATGATGGACAAGGTGAGATGGTTGAGGTGGGAGATTGCGTTCTCCTCAATCCTTTGGTGCCTGGTGAAAAGTTTTACTCCACGTCAGGGAGGAGGATGGGAAAAACAGTAATATTCACCTGAAGACTTGAGTCATGCATTGACAGAATTCAGTGTGTCCTTATTGGAGGGAAGCGGCCAAAGCAAGGTATTAAGGAAAGAGAGGGAGGACATCATCTATATTTGCCTACCTCTTTGCATATTCCCCCTGAATTACGTGTGCAAAGCAACTCCGAGTTTCATAGATTTAGAGCTAGAAGGGAATCACAGTTTGTATGTTATTTAACCCCTTCAATTTATAACTGAAGAAACTGAGACTTAGAAAGAATTGACCAGGGTCACAGAGACGGTAAGTAGTGAAGCCAGCGGGTTGGGGGGCAGCTAGGTGACCCCATAGTGCACAGAGCACTGGGCCTGGAATCAGGAAGACTCATCTTCGGAGTTCAAATCTGCCCTGAGATACTCACTAGTTGTCTGACCCTGGGCAAGCCACTTAACCCTGTTTGCCTCAGTTTCCTCATCTGTAAAATGAGCTGGAGAAGGAAAGGGAAAACTACTCCAGTATCTTTGGCAAGAAAATTCCAAATGGTGTCACAAAGAGTCAGACATGACTGAGATGACTGCATAACAACAACAGTGGAGCCAGGATTTGAACGCTGGTCTCCTACATCTGAACCAAGGCTCATTTTTTTCCTACTATGATCCGCTTCTTTTCCTTTCTCTCTCCCTTGCATTTCCTCTCCTTCCTTACAACCACCAGTGACCCTAAGCTCTTGCATCTCGAGCCTGACCCCACAGTTTATTAGGAAGAGCACCAGAATGTTTTCTCTGGGTCACTGGAGTTTCCCCACCTATAAAGTAAACAGGTTGGATTGTTTCAGCTTTAATATTCTATGGATTGCTGAGTTGATGAGAGCAGGGAAAACCACAGGGCTGGGAATAGCAGACCCAAATAACTCCCTCTGTGGATTAGCCACAGAAACTTCTGTTACTATCCTGGCTTCCCCCCTTCTCCTCCCTCCCCATCCTCCAGGGCAGGTCTGAGTACCACCTACTCACCATCAGGTTTAGGGAATGCAAATTCATGTTCAGGAAACAGAATCTACCAGGAAAAGATAATCACCTAAAACATTCATCCCCAAGCTGAATAGAAATGATTTGGATTTTAGCCATTGTTTGGAATTATTCAGTTCGTTTATTTGTATGAAGAGTTAAGGAATGACTGACTTTTTCATCTCTGAATGTGAATGATCTGGTGTCTGAAGGAGCCTCTGACCCCTGATCTGAGACAAGAGGACCTGAGTATTAATCTGGTTGACAGATCCAAGACAAGTGATTCTTAATCTGGGGTCCATGAGTAGATTTCTGGCGGTCTGTGAACTTGGCTGGAAGAAAAATTACATCTTTATTTTTTAAAATTAATCTCTAAATGCAATTTGGCATTTCCTTCAATTATTTAAAAACATTATTCTGAGGAGTCCATAGGCTTCACCAGAATGCCAAAGGGTCCATGACATAGAAAAGGCTATGGACCCCTCCCCCGACCTGTCCCAAGTTGGGTAGCTGGGGTTGGGTGGGGTTTAGACATGGAAAACTCCAACCTCTTCATCTCTCCTTCCAGAATTCAGATGGAAAGCTGACACTGCAGGAGTTTCAGGAGGGCTCAAAGGCTGACCCCTCCATTGTCCAGGCACTGTCCCTCTACGATGGGCTTGTATAGTCCTAAGGCCAGACCAGGGGTAAGTATGGGCCACAGAGGCAACCTTGGATCAGGGGCCCAGGATCATTATGCACTGGAAAGAGAAGAACAAAAGCTCAGGCACAGATCATCTGGACCCTGATTCTTCCCCTAGTAGAAAGGAAATAAACACCCAAGACACTGTGGATTGAAGAGAGGTCAGGATGTTACCTATCCCATCTTTCAATAATGAGTTTAATGCCTAGCATTAGTTAAGTTGCAAAGGCCTCCTTCCCAGCTCACATGAGTATCATTATTTTCTTTTGATTATTCAGGTAGATAGAATGTAAATTCAGTATAATAATATTGTATAGTCATTTGCTATGGGGATAGATTTTTTTTCCTCTTTCGCTTCCTCTGTCCCTTAAAAATTAATTTAATTTTTTTCAGTGAACAACCGTAATAGGGCAAAACAAGGCCTTTCCTTCTGTTGATTATTTCCAGTCTATTCTGTATATATCTTGTTTATATATTTGTGTTTTCATGTTGCCTCTTCCTCCACCCTTCAAATATTGAAAAAAAGGAAAAGAAATAACAAATATGTATGTATAGTCAAGCAAATAAAAAAATCCTACACTAGTCATGTACTATTGCACTATATATATGCACACATATACATATACACATAGATAGATAGATCGCAGCTAGGTAGCACAGTGAATAGAGTACCAGGCCTAAAGTTAGGAAGACTCATCTTCTTGAGTTCATATCTGGCCTCATACACTTAACTAGCTGTGTGACCCTTAAGGGGTAAGTCTTAGCCTCAGTTCCTCACCTGTAAAATGGGGACACACTGGAGAAGGAAACGGCAAACCACTCTAGTATGTCTGCCAAGAAAACCCCAAATGGGGTTACAAAGAGTTGGACATGAGAACAAATATATCCATCCATACATACATAAATATATATATTCTGTCCCCTTGAGTCTATCACCTGTAAGGTAGGTGGTATCATGGTTTCTCTGGAGTTGTGGTTGGTCATTGAGTTTGTTAATCAGAGTTTTGAAGTCTCTCAAAGTTATTTCTGTTTGCAATTTTGCTGTTACTACATAAATTGTTGTCTTGGTTCCTTCCTTTTCCTTTTTTTCTCCCCTCTTCATTTTTTTGTACTTTTTTCTCTTCTCCTTTTTCTGACTCTTCCTTTAATTCCCATTTTCTTTTCACCTTTCTCTTCCACTTTCCCTCATTTCTTTTCTTTCCCATCTTCCTATTCTATTTTTTCTTCCTTATTTCCTTTCCCTTCTTCCCCTTCCGTTTCCTCTTCTTCCTCCCTTTCTTTTCCTCTTCCTTTTCTTTCTCTACCTCTTTTTCTCCCCCATTTCTCCCCCTTCTTTTTCTTCCTGCTCCTTTTTCATTTCTTTTTCTTCTTGACCTCTTCTTTGACCTTTTTCATCACCATCATAATCCATTGGTACATATTTCCGTTTAGAAATACACAACAGAAGGCTGTGCAGGTGATTTAATTTTGCACCCTGATAATGGGGCAAAACAAGGCCTAATGAGTTTTTGGGTGGATTCCCCCTTTGAAAAGACCACCAAGAACACTCTTAACATATAGAATCAAGAAGAGGGGAACTGGTGTGTTTGCGGAAAGATCAAAAAGATAGGCAGGCAACAAGCTTCATTAAGCTCTCACTATGTGTCATACACATAGTGCATCAGGGAAAACAAATGACAGTCTACAGATTGCTGCCCAGTACTTTATCAAACTCCCACTCCACTCTTTTCTAAGAAGAGACACAGACTGTGGAGTAAGTGAGATTAACATTTAGTCTAGCATCCTCTCCCTTCTCCCGTTCTTAAATCTAAATTCCTTATCTGGCAAGGGTATGCTTGTGTACTGGCAAAGTACCACTTGTGAGCAGAATAAGCTGGGTTTTTTGATGATCGTATTGGAACCTGGGAATCCTTCCCACCTCTCCTTCTAGAATTTTGTAGCTAGGAGGCTCCTCCAGGTTATTTGGTCCAATTTTATGCCTTTAAGGACCCCTATGTCCCTGTGTCTAAACCACCCAGGACTATATGAATGAATGGAAGAATAAATGCCTTCAAAAATATCTCTTGGAAAAAAAAGATAAGAAAAAAATCTCTTGTATACCCCCCTTTCTCTCCTCTGACACTGCTACTACCCTGGTAGAAGTCCTCATCACTTTATATGTATATGATTGCAATGGCCTGCAGGTGTGTCTTCCTACCTTAAATCTCTCCCCACTCTGGTCCATCTACCACTCAGCTGTAAAATTCATCTTCCCAAAGTGCAGATCTATATTCCCTTATCTTGTGGTTCCCTATCACCTCCAGGTTAACATATAAAAACCCGTTTGGTATTCAAACCCTTCACAACCTGGTCTCCTCCTCCCTTTCCAATTTTCTTAAATTTTACTCCCTATCATGGATTCTTCCATCTAGTGACACTGGCCTCTTGCTATTTTTGGGATAAGATATTCCACTTTTTGACTCTGAGAATTTTCACTGGCTGTTCCCCATGCCAGAAATATTCTCCCCCCTCATTTCTACCTCCTGGCTATGCTGCAAGTCCCAGCTAAAATTCCATCTTCTAAGGGAAGCCTTTCCTGATATCCCTTAATACTAATCCTTTCCTTCTGTTGATTATTTCCAATCTATTCTGTATATATCTTGTTTATACATTTGTGTTTTCATGTTGCCTCTCCCATTGGGCTGAAGTCCTTGAGAACAGGGCTGTCTTTTGTCTTTCTTTTTATCTCCAGCACTTAGCACAGTGCCTGGCAATTAGTGGTACTTAATAAATGCTTACTGACTGTTTCCTTCATCCATTCAACGCTCAGTCAACAAGCATTTATTAAGCACCTACTATGTTCCAGGTGCTGATCTAAGTGCTGGAGATAAAAAGAAACGTAAAAAGCAGCTTTCTGCACAGTCTCATAGGGAAGACAACATACAAACAACTATGTACAAACATGATGTAGACAGGATAAGCTGATCGTTGTCTCAGAGTGGGAAGGCACTAAGATTAAGGAGGGCTTGGAAAGACTTTTTGCAGAAGGTAGGATTGTAGCTGAGACCTGAAGGAAGTCAGGGAAGCGAGAAAATGGCGATGAGAGGGAAGAGAGTCCCAGACATGGGAAAAAATATTCATTAAGTGCTTTCTATGTGCTAGGCACCATGCTAAGCTGAGAATACAAATACAAAAATGAGAAGGTCCCCTGCCCTCAAGAAGTTTATATTCTGGGGCAGCTAGGTGGTGCAGTGCATAGAGCTCCCGCCCTGGTTTCAGGAGGACCTGAATTCAAATCTGGCCTCAGACACGTAACACTTACTAGCTGTGTGACCCTGGGCAAGTCACTTAACCCCATTGCCTAACCAAAAAAAAAAAAAAAAAAGTTTACATTCTTACATTCTAATGGGTGAGATAGCACATATTGGGGAGTGGTAGAGAAAGGAATCTTAGTCTTTGGGATAACAGGGATGGGTGGTGAACTGACCTATAGGGCAACCAAACAACATGACTTTTTAACAATTAATTTTTTTTTCATTGAACAAAAATCAATTTTCTTTCTCTCCCTTACTACCGATGTAACAAATATACATCGTCAAGCAAAACAAATTCCCACATTGGCAATGTCCAAAAATACACTTGACATGCCTTTTCTAGAAGCAGTGGTAATGTTGAGTTGATTATCACTCCCAGGGCAGTTGGGGGAAAGCTGGGATTAGGGCAGGGGTATAGGGCTGGGGTTGGCCCAGACCACAAGATGGCTCAGATGGGATATGGTAGCACAGGTGAGTTTGCATTTTCTACTTACAAAGCAAGACAGCTCAGTCCCTAGGTGTGAGTTCCAAAGCTGAATAGATTCACTGACCCCAGGGCCTGGGGTCATGATTTCAGGGCAATTTTGAGGCAGATGGCAGGATAATCCAAGTGGGTATCTAAATGGGAAGTGATGGCATGGGCTAGTTTGGGGCAAGCTAGATATAGTGGGCTAGGTGAGTTAGCAGGCCCTTACTCAACAATAGAATTAGTTTCTTCTCTTCCTGAAGGGGAGACAGACACCGCAACCCACTTCAGCAGCCCATGATGCAGCTAGGTGCCTTCTTAACCCTGTCTTCATTACACTCTCCTTTTCAGATGCCTGCAGACTGCCTGCCTCCCTCTGTGCCATCAGACCACCTCAGTAATGAAGCTCGTCCACTTGTCTCTCTCCAGCCTTCCTTTACGCACAGCAGGGCTGCACACGAAATGTGAGGTCCCATTCCCCCATTCCTTCTCACCCTCCGCATCCCCTTACTGTGCCCTGAAGTCACTGTCTCCATTTGCCAACTTCTGCTTGTCGGAGGAAAAACAGCGGCGATTATCTGCACAACAAGGACACCTACTGCATCACAGAAGAGCCTCATTGTTTTCTCTCTCATGCCCATGCTTTTATTTTTTATTTAGAACAGACATTTTTAAAAATGCCCTTCTGTTCTAGAAAATGTAGACTGAAAAATGGTGATGGCCCTGGGTTACTCAGAAAATTCTCCAGCTTCCTTCCTACTGGTGGCTGGAAAGATTGTTGGGAAGCTATGGCTTTGGTTCTTGGATTGGGCCAGATGTGTTTGGGAGATGATTGATGTTTTTTGTCATTCAGTCCTTTTAGCAGCAGAACAACCTGCGTGGCTAGGATGATTTATTATTATTAATTTTTATCATTATTATTTTTCGTGATATCAGTATTGTGTTTTTTTTTGTGGGAAAGTGAGTTTTTTTATACATATATATGATCAATATCTTTATTTATTGGTTGTTAACTGTTGCTGCTGTCTGGTATGTCTGAGCCCCAACTGTCCAGGGGCAAAACGTTTACATGTGCACGCGCGCCCCCATGCTCGCTCAGGAGGACGGTGGCCCACAGTGGCCAAGAAGCCAAAAATACTTTCCCAGATACTGTGCTTGGTTTTTGAACTGGGGTTAGGGATGAAATTCTTGAAAGGGTTACATACCCATCTCTCTTCCAGATGCTTGCTTCTCTGGGTTCCCTTGCTTCCTCACTGCTTCCTCCTTTCCCTTATCCTCCTTCCTTTCTCCCCCACTTCCCCCTTCCCCCCAGCGTTCTTCTGCATGACTGCCATGCTCATGCTCAGAGAGAGACCCCAGCTGCTTTTGCATTCAGATTTTCATTTGGCCTGGATGCCTTTTCTTGCTTCTTGGTTTTGTGTCTTGGGCAGATTAGAGGAATTGAGTTTCTTGAAAGGTTGCACCAAAAAAGACTGTTTTGGGCAAAGAACTCAATGGATTCTTTTAGTGGAGAGCTTAGAGAAGGGGAAATCCATTGTATTCACAGAAGAGTGAAGAGCTGCTGTTAGCCAAAAACTTGAGTATCCCTCTCTCTTTTGGGAAGCTTGCAAATGATTCCCAAATCTTCCCATTCAGTATATTCCCTCCTCCCCCAATCCTTCTTTCCCTGAGGAAAAACACAGAAATTTAAATATCTGTACCCCTCTGGCTCACACATAGTAGACACTTACCTAAATGTTTATTGAACTGAGATTTCCTTGGATCCAGCAGATGAACAATTATAGGGAAAGAAGCTTGCTCAGAAAGTTAGTTTCCCATCAATTTGACTCAATTGGACAATCATTTATTTAGCTCCTACTAAGAGCAAGGGTGGTAGGCCCTGAGAATATGAAGACAAAAACAACATTCCTGGCCCTCCATGGGCTTACGTTCTATTGAATTCAGGCAGCAGCTTTGTATCTCTTGGGGGAAAGCTCTAACCTCTTTCTGGAAGTTGAGAAAAATAGCTAAACCATGATATTCTAGAAAATGTTGCCAAAGCTTTTAGTGGGAAGGACAAACAGAAAACCAGCCAGAGAGTTCCATGGGTGATGCCATGTAACTTTCTGTTTTCTTTAATGTTTGATGAATGTCCTGCCATCTTGTTTTTCCTTCAAGTCTAAAAGAGGGAGGATAATGTGTGAGGCTTGGCTATTCCCAGCTGTTAGCACTTTCCCTTAGCCAGATGATTGGGAAGTATTATGACTGGCCTGTAGGGAGCATGCCTTATAAATTCAGTCCTATTGCAGTGACAATTAATGTCAATCACCCAAGAATTAGCATCCTGGTCTTTGTGTTTTTATTCCCCTACTATCCCTGCCCTTGACCTACTACCACAGAGTTGGCCTTGGAAACAGCTGGTACCCAGCATGACTTGGTTGACGTCTGCCCGTACCTGAAACCCTAGTCCCACTGTGGGCAGATAACCTTGGACATTTTGTAGGCCACATCCCTCTCTCCCTATCCATAGTTTCTTGTCCCTTCTGCCCTTCTCTGACAAAGATATCTCTTCTGGGGAAGGGGCATTCTGGACTTTGTGACTGCTCATCCTATCTAAACATTCTGCTATGTCTTCCTTTTGATATCTAGAGTTTTCAAACCCACATACGGCTCAAGCCCAAAGCTTCTCCTACAGCTACTTATCCCCCTGCCCCAAAATCCCAACCGTCCTCTTTCTTGGGGGTCTTGTGGGCTCTCCTTCCTGCCCCCTCCATGATGCCCCCCTCTCACTGCTGTTTTGTTGTGTGAACTGCAGCTAGTTTTGATTCCTTTCCCAGATCTTCACCTCTTATTTTAACTCCAGGGAATGAGGGCGGGATCATTGGGATCTCATGGCTTTATTCTCTGGTATTTTCAAGGGTCTCCCTTCCTCTCTGGGGAAACAGTACGAAAATTCTTCTTATACAGCTCAGGCTTGTTCTCCCTTCCCACGAACCTCAACATACTTGGGGAGGGTATTGGGTATGAGCAAGTTAGGGAGTGAGTCCTTATCCTCTCCAAACCAAGGAGGACCTTCCTGGTTAAGTTTTCTCTCTGTCTTTGTCTACTTCCTAAAGAGCTGTCTTACCTTTCTCTTGGCTGTGATGCTGGGTAAAGAATCTTCTTAAGCTCAACCAGATGGCTTGTTGAGGAATTTCTTGGATCAGAGATTGAGGAGGCACTGTTGTTTAAGTCTGTATTCCTCCTGACCCATTTTTGAGCTCTCTTATCTCCCATAATCATCTCTTAACATGGGTAGCACCTTTGTTGGGCTAGCTATGGAAAGATACTTCTTCCTGCTCCCTCCTGAATGCTGAAGGCTAGACTTCTAGGGTTTTTTCAATTGGCAAAGACAGCTGGGCTGGGCCAGAGGATTGTACAGGGGACCAACCTTCCCCCCCTTAGGCTCCCTGACCAGATGTTAAGAACCACATGAAATAGCAAATTACCAGTGTCAAGCAGAGAGGCAGTACCACTGAGTGGAAATCAGACCTGGGTTCAAGTTCCATTTCTGTATGATTTTGGACAAACTGTTTTCTTTCTCTGAGCCTCAGTTTCCTCATGAGTAGAATGAGGGGGTTGGACTAGACAAATGTCTAAGGTATCTTCTAGCTCTAAGGTATCATGAGTCTGAGCTCTGATGTTCTATGAGGTGGAATTTGAGCTCACAGTCTCAGGACCCAAAGAAGCTCTAAAGTCTCCCTAGAGGTGACTTTTCTCTTGTTCCATTCAGTACCTTAATCCAGAGCTCTGCAAGAGAAGTAACCATCAGTCAGTAATATCTAGGTCCTCTGATAGCTTAAGAGAAGTCCTTCTACCCCCATAGCTTAAGAGAAGTCCTTCTACCCTCAGCTAATGAATTAGGTCTGTCTTTTCCTTACTGTGCTCTAAAGTCCTTAGTCATGCCTCGGGGCAGATGGGCAGGGCTGGTTATCTATCTGACTTTCTTTGGGATTTGGTTCTTTCAAACAGAAGGGGAGCACTAACTAGCCAGGGTGGATTATGATTGGTGGTAAGGGTAGAAATGTTTGTTTTCCCTCACCTATTATGTGCCAGACACTGTGCTGAGTATTTTACAAATAATTTTTCATTTGAATTAAGATTTCCTTTGGAAATGTCCCCTCTCTGTCCCACCTCAGACTAAATTTGAGATAAGTTTTTTGGAGTCTTTCAATGGCTACTTAGGGACTAGGGCCATATATCTATATCTATAGAGATATATGGCTTCTGAATGGCAAGATTCAGAAAGGTTGGCCTCCATGGCTATTCTTGAATTGTTCTTGTGAATAATACTGTGTTTTCCTCTTCTTCCCTCTTATGGAAGGAACTCTGTGTGTCTTGGCTCATCAGATGTAGTTTTTTGGAGGAAGGGGGAGGTCATCTCATTCATGCCTTCTTACATAAGACCACTTTTGTGTCCAGTGAGACCTACCTGAGGTACCAGAGTTAGGACATGGAGCCTTGAGAGTTGTGCTGCCCTTTCCTTAAGTGACTCCAAGCAAGTTGTTTCCTTTTTTTTTAGCTCAGTTTCCCTATCTGTGAAGTGGGGATGATGCTATAGCATGCTGAGTATCAAAAATATTCCTGAACATTAGGATTAAGGATGAGTAGTGTGGATTATGTCTCTGGAAGGCTCCCCATGCCCTCTTCCCTCTTGCTCTTAATTACATGCCACAAAGGCAGCATAGTGCTTTCCAAGAAGCCCATTCTTATCTTGCTGGTGGAGATGCAGGTCATTCATTATTTCTTTGCTACAGGTTGTATAGTAAAGGCCCATCTTGATGACAGATCCCCATAGAAAGCATCACTCCAGTCTTTCCCTATTGTCTTCCACCTCCCCATCCACTCCCCCCCATTTAGCCTGGATCCTTTCTTTTGCAAGTCTCCTGGTCCACAAATCCTTTAAGGAACCTTTATTTAGCGCCTCAGCCCCTGAAGGAATTCCTTTCACTTCTACTGTTTTTTTTCTGCATGATGCCTGGACCCATTTCAGAGCTGTTCCTCTGGATCCTGGCCTCTTTGCTCACAAGTGACAGACATCTCTTCCAGTGATGCCCAGGTACCAGGCTCAAGGTTCCCTTGAGCCTCCCAGGTGGGGAAGACAAGAGCCAATACCATGTGTTCTATCTAATCTAGCTGGGGACAAGAATTTTCAGATTCTGAGCTGTTCCCTGCTGTGTCTGCTCCTACCCCCGCTGATCCTCAGCCCCAGTCCCAGCTTTTGCCTCCCAACATGTCTGCTTCCTACTTTTGTTGATGGTGACTTATAAGAATTTCATAATTTTCTAGTGATTAAATATTTAACCATGCAACATTTCAAATAATGTTAAGACAAATGTACACGTCATTTATACTGACATCTCTTCCTTATGAAATGCTTTTAAGTTTGACAGCAAACTTCCTTATAAGACAGATGTCAGTCTTTTCTTAAAGGGACACTGTCTCCTTGTTCTTGGAGGTGGGTGCTCATGGTCAGTAACTCCAGGTTTGGAAACAGTTTCTTCCAGAAATCTGCCTCTGCTGTTGACCTAGGAAAACTGAGTCTGAGTTTTAGAGCCGGATACTGAGACCCATGTACACTCCCTGGTGGTAATAAGTAGTTACTACACCCACTTTTCCAGGGCTCTCCGTTCATCTTAGGGATATAGAAATTGGTCAGCCAGGTGATTTTTGCTGTTTTTATGGACAAGGAAGCTAAGGGTTTGGGTGGGAAGGAGGCCTCGGTTTAAAAATGCTCTAGGCTTCTGGTTCCAGTTTTCCTACAATGTCTCTTTCAACTACTTCTTAACCCACCCTGGACTTGCTACCGCTTCCCCCACCCCTCACCCCAAGGGATGTCGGAATTAATTAGCTTATGGTCACTGTGATCTGAAGCCTTGCCCTTTTTTTTAAGATATCTGCAGAATAATTCCAATGATCGATTTTTGAATGAATAAAGTTTTTGTTGAATAACGCAGCTGGTCCCATCTTCTGTTGTATAGCCCCGGTCAGCCTCCCTCCCCAGAGTAATGGGCTCTCACTAGGCCTGGTTGTTTTCTGCTTTCTAGAGACAGGGTAAATTCAAGGTACCCTTCCCCGCCATGAATTCTCTTCCCCACTTCTCTTCTTGGGAAACTAACATTGGCATCAGACTTGGGATCCTAAGCTCATCATAGATTCATAAATCTGGCGCTGAAAGGACCTCATGGGCCGTCTACGCCAACCCCCTCATTTTCCACAGATGTCTTTTGTAGCTTTGACAGCTCACCCCACAGGGCAACAGCGTCAGAATATTCGGGTTCCAGCCCCAGCTTTGCCTACTAGATTCTGCATGACTGTAGGCAGGCACGTCACTCCCACTCTCTGTGACTCGTTTGTCCAAGGGCAGGCATAACCCCAGTCTCACCTACCTCACAGGGTTGTTGTGGGGGTCCACTGAGATGAGATGATGGACAGGAGTGGACACTTTGCAAAGTTGAGAGTGACATGTAAATAGAGAGCATTATAAATTATCATTGTTTCCCCACTTAGGAGTTTTGTCTTGTTTGGAAACGAATCAGGTGGCTCTTGAAAAGCAGCAAAGTTTCCTGGGGGTGGTGGGTTTTTCTTTCCTTTTTTTTTTTGTTGGCTTGCTTACTAGTCTCTGCCTTCTTCCCTGCTGGAGATGCCTTTCTGCCTGGAAGCGTGTGCGTGTGCGTGTGCGTGCGTGTGTGTGTGCGTGCGTGTGTGTGTGTGTGTGTGTGTGTGTGTCTGAGTGTCTGATGAAGATGAAAAGAGGATGTCATGGCTGTGAGCTGTTTCCACTATTGGTTGTTACAGGCTGCCAGATGTTATAGATGCTGGATAGTACAGGTGCCTGTGTGGGCCAAATTGCATGCCTCACCCCAACTGCCCCAAACCCTCCCCTGGTGCTCTGTGTTGTATGTTGTCAGTGTTGCACCAATTAAACACACTACCTGGATTGTCCTCTCTTTTCCCTTCGTGTGGACCTGTTGCCTTTGCCTTCTCTTTTTATGTTGTTTTTGTTTTGATGTTTTTAAAGGTCTTTTTTTGGTGTGTGTTTTTTTTTCCTCCCTTTCTTTCTCATGAAATCTTTCTCTGTTTCTTGGGATGTTGTCTGGGTCCAAGTAGTTTCCTCAAAAGAGAACCTGTGGATCGAGAGAAGCCAGATGCTAAATGTCTGCCTGGGTATAGAGGGAGATAGAATGGACAGAATCCTGGCTTGTTAGTCATTTTAACTCTGGGCCTCAGTTTCTTCTTCAGTAAAATGAGAGGGTTGGATGAGATGATCCCTAGAGCTCTTTCAAAATCTATACTGTAGCATGACAGGACACTGGAAACCATGTCCGCTGGCGGACAGAAACCCCCACCAGCCTAGCAACACTACCCCAAATCTCTACCACAATGATATGACCCCAGAATATTTTACCAAACTGCAGGGAAAGACTATCCTTACCTCACTTTGTGGGATATTGACGTGTCCCGTGGTCCACAGTGGTTTGCCCATTATCAGAGTGAAGATGGTAATTGGATAGGCTCCTTTCAGCTTGATTCCCCCATTTTCCCTCTTGGTTTTGGGGTGAGCCTGAGAGTTGAGCTTTATCCTTCGCCACAGAGGATGGAGGCCAGGATTTCAGAGGTGCCAACTTAGTCTTTCTCTCCCTCCTCAAGGCCACACATCTTTCTTTTGGATCTGTGGTTTGCTCAGCCCTGTGCTAATATAGGCCCTGTAGAAGCCACAAACCAATGTGGCCCTGTCAATGTGGCCCAGCTATCAATCTTATTGGGGGATATAAGATACACCCATGAGAGAACAATGAGAGCTAAATTGTATGGTACATATAGGTTGGCTCTGGTCACAATTTTCTTGGTTTGGACTGACGCTCTAAGGATGAATGTCTCCCTGGGACAACTGAACCAGTCTCTGAAGGTCAAAGATTTTGCATCTGAATAAGCTAGAATCAAATCGAGATTTAACCCTCTGTACAGCCCCATTCCTAGTCACCTGGATCTCCACTTCCTTTTTTTGGAGAAAGAACACTCCAGTGTGCCACACCCTGAGCTTGTGTGAGTGAGTGAATGAATGAGTGAGTGAATGAATGAATGAATGAGTGAGTGAGTGTGTGTGTGTGTGTGTGTGTGTGTGTGAGAGAGAGAGAGAGAGAGAGAGAGAGAGAGTGTACCTACAGGGAATGAGGAAAGCAAGGTTTTGGTATTAACACCCCTCAGTTGCCAGAAGTTCCCATTTTCCATGGGAAAAGGGTAAGCTGCCCAAGACCAGGAACCTATATGATACCAGGCTCTTAATGAGACCTGGGGTGGGGCAGGGGGCGAGCAGAGGGGAAGCAGCTCTTCCTGAGCTTCCCTTTCAAGCCACATAGCCGGTACTTAATACATGTTCATTGATTGATTGACTGCTTCAGATGACCTCTAAGGGCCCTTCCTGCTCAGAAATTCTGACACTTTTCTGCGATTCCAGTATTTCAGGAGTGTGTCTGAGACATTCCCCAGAGCACAGGATGCTGGGTCAAGGGGTGACATTAGGACACAGTCAAAGTCATAGGGAGATGCCAAGGACTGAA